ACAGTTTTTATACCAAAAAGTGACCTATGTAAATATTTAGAGTGTGGGTGAGAGAAAAATTCAATCCTAGTCTGTACTGCCTCAGTTCATTAACCTCTTCCTACCAGACCTCTTTGCCACTAAGAATGAACGTTGTGTGTTAAAACTCAGTGACAATATATTCTAACTGATAGCATCAAGAGTTAAACATGAACAGGAAAGGTCTGAAACTCCTATTTCTAATATAACTATAATAGTACTAGTTAGGCAACATTTGATGTATACATAGTAAGGAAAGCATATATAGAGATGGCACACACTTTAGTTTAAAGCCAGCTAGCGAGCTGGACTAAACTGTTGTCCTGCTCATGCATGATTTAATACTGTGATATTAATTGCTGAAAAAATGTAAGCAATCCCGAGGGTAGGAAGGCACTACCCATAGATATGCTGATAGATAACGGTCCCTTGTGAAAAGTAAACACCTTCCCCCGAAACATCCAGAATTAGCCAGAGTCAGGGGTAAGATAATGAACTAGGTGGACCCTTGGCTATGAAGGTTGCTTCTTTGTGCATCGCCCCATGAAATGTTTCAATACATACATGCAATTAGTCAGTACTGAGGTAGCTACATACCAATATACTAGAGTTTGATGGTACAGAGCGCCTTTTATATACCAGTTACCAGTACAAAACTCTTTACAAAGAAATAGATAGGACTTAAATAGCCATATATTATTTTATTACCTAGATGTCACACATGAGGTTATGAATTCCTAGGCACACTGTGCATGTTGCTATAAGGATTGGGTGTGTGGCTTCTACTTTTGAACTGCATGTAAATAACACTGAAGAACTGAACTGATTCAGACTTTGTCTAATGTTTCAATTTTTGCCCTGCACTCTAAAATATGAGGCTACCCATTCTGACTCTAAACTGTCTCCCTTTAATCCCTTGGGTCCAGCAGTGAGGGTTTCATTAACACCACATTCAGTGCTTCAAAATTCTAAATGGGCTTGAATAATCCCTCCTACTACACAGAAAATGCAGACCTTGTAATTAACATAAGTGACCCAATGATTTTACAGTTCCTTGGATGCAGCAAGAGTAAGATTTAATTAGGCATGACAATACCGCTTAAAGGTTAAAACAACAGCTGCCTCTATTCAGAGATCAGGCACAATATTTTAAATTAATCATCTTCTCAGACATCACCCCAAACTACTTGCTAAACAAGGTGTCAAGGTTCAGATTTATGCAGCATTCTGGATTAAAGTTTAATTTTTCTTCTACTCTTTTTTTTTTTTTACACTGTCATCACTAGAATAAAAAGTTGTTCTATTCAATTGCACCTGTTATTTTAGCACAGCAAGGGAGAAGCTCAGTGGTTTGAGCATTGGCCTGCTAAACCCAGGGTTGTGAGTTCAATCCTTGAGGGGGCCACTTAGGGATCTGGGGCAAAAATCAGTACTTGGTCCTGCTAGTGAAGGCAGGGGGCTGGACTCGATGACCTATCAAGGTCCTTTCCAGCTCTATGAGCTAGGTATATCTTCATTTGAGATTTGTAAAGAAATATCAACAAGTGGACTATAGGGAAGTCAAAGGACCTGCTAAAAATGTTCCAAGTTCATTATGCTTTTGATTTCTAGTTTGCGAACATACTTGGTAGCATAAAACAGTACCTTAGCTGCACTGATGTTTCCAATCTGAACCTTCCTTCCAGACTCACGTTTTGTATTCTGACCTACGGCATGCAGAAAACAAAAAATAGCCACAGCATGAATATAACTGATCTTGTGAGCTCTCAATGGGAAATCCAATGTTGAGGAGGCAATACTGACAACATATCAATGATGCAATCTTACTCATGTGCACATGAATTATGGAGCCATGTATTTAAATAAGAGAGTACCCAAGATGTACAGCCACCAGAATAAAATTATGCCAACTTCCCCTCTTACTTTAATGTTGCTATTTTTTAATATAATTCTTTTAAAGATTTCTAAGGTCGTCTCCATTATTTAAGTCTCATGAGTAGAAACTAGGTTTCCAAATAAGGCACTATATAAGATGTCTTGACTTGTCACCAAAAGAGGGCCAATAGTACTGAAGATTCAAACGAGTCAATATTCCTGAGAATCTACTATAAAATTGCTACATAGTAACTTTATGGTACTCTGAAAAATTATCGTTTTAAGGAATTTTTCTCCAGCATCATAATAGGTAGAATAACATTATAAATGTTAAGTTTCCATACTGCACCTCAATGACCCATAACCTGCCATACGTAAAACAATATGTATTGATTATACCCATAACTGAGACTAACACCCATATTAGGTGATCTCCTATCACAAGGGTCTGTCCCAAAGAAACCCCACCCATATTAAATGTGATGTCATTTCTTTATTGCAAGCCCAGCTTGGATAAGCAAGGAATCCTTTTGTGGGGAAGGGGAGAAAACAAAAGTGGAGTGAAATAACCGGAAGGGAGGAGTGAAAACTCCCGCCCCCCAAAACAGAAATAAACTCAATACAGGAGGGCTACAAAAGAAGACTCCCAAAGGGGGGGAGGGGAGAAGATTTATTAATGTGAGAAGGGAACCCAAATAGGAAGAAATACCAATGTAAAGGACTACAAAGGGTTAGGGAGAGCCCAAGGTGGGAGGGGAATATAGGAGGTACCTAATACAGGAGAGACCAGAATGGGAGAGCACCACCAATCTGGTGGGACACACATGAGAAGAGAGAGGCTGTAAAACAAGAAGGGGGAACCTAAATGGGTGGGGAATATGTAGGGGATAACCCAAAGGTTGGAGGAGAAATGTGGGAGGTTACCCAACATACAGGAGGAACAATGGAGACCCAAATGGGAAGAAACCCCAATAAGAGGCAGTGACCCCAATGAGAGTGGAACTTGGTAGGGAGGGGGCTCAATGTGTGTGTGTTGGGGGGGTGAACAATATGAGGGAAGACCAGAGGAAACCCGAGTGGCCCAGGCGACAGAGAATGACATGCGAGGCGATGGGGCAGGGGGGAGCTGTATGGATCGGGGGGGGGGAGCAGGGGGGAGGAGATGGGCACAAGGGGGAACGAGAAGGAAATGGGGGGCAGGGGAGAGCTGTATGGAGGGGATGACTCAGGAAAGGTGATGGACGGTGGGGATGGGCACGAGAAGGAAATGGGGGGTAGAGGAAAGCTGTATGGATGGGGGGGAGCAGGATAGAGCTGTATGGATCAGTGGGGCAGGGAGGAGCTGTATGGAGGGGATGACTCAGAAAGGTGATGGATGATGGGGATGGGCACGAGGAGGAAATGGGGGGGCTGGGGGGAGCCATGGGAAGGGGGAGGGGGGGTATGGGAGACCCGTGGGGTGGGGCTGCGGGATGGGGATGAGGCGGGGCAGGCGGGAGGGGCCCAGGGAGAAGGTGCGGGGGGGGGTTATGGGAGACCCCGATGGGGGCGGGGGGGAAGTTTCCAGGAGGCCCCTGGGTGGGGGAAGGGCGGGAGGTGTCGGGGAGACACAGTCGGGGGCGCGGCGCGGCCCCCCCTTCACACTCACTGAGCACGAGTACGGGGCGCTGGCCCATCATCCTGGCGGCGACGCGGAGCAGAGGACCCGGCGCGGAACCTTCTGGAGACAGACACACTACGAACAACGCCGCTTCACCGCGCCGCGCGACACCCTACCCCGCCCGCCGCCGCGTCCACCAATCGCCGCCCGAGCCGAACGCCCGGCACCCAATAGGAAGACAGGACCTCACGTATAGGACCCGCCCCCCACTTCACCACAAGCTCGGTTGAGCGGTGACTCCCCGCGCGTGGGGCCTCGATTGGAACGGCCACCGTTGGGAGGGGACAGGGAATACTGCGCATGCGCCTCAAAAAACCGGGAGACGGCGCCTGCGCGATTATTCGGACGAGGTGATTTCACACATGCGCAGTGCCCAGGGTCGTGGTGAGACGCATGCGTACAAGCTGCGAGCAGCGGTTGGAGGGACAGAGAGGGGGAGCCGGTCCTGCGGCCTTCCGGGCTGCGTCCGTCGCGCTCGGGTCTCGGCCGCGCCGGCTGTAGAGGCGAGTGGGGAGGAGAGCAGAGGCCGTTAAGCAGCTGGCTCTCGCCCTGTGGGGGACCCTAGGAGTCGTAGTCCCTGCCACCGAGGCATGCTGGGAATTGTAGTCCTACCCAGCGGCTCCCTCACACTGGGGCATCATGGGAGTTGTAGTCTTGCTCCTGGGCATGCTGGGAATTGTAGTCTTACGTGGGCCACACTCTGTAGTTTTGCTCCCGAAGCATGATGGGAGCTGTAGGCCTTACCAGGTGTTTCATGGGAGTTGTAGTTTGTTAATGAGCCATGTTGGACCATATGACAGTGCTAGAGCTGTCCAGTATGCACAACATGGGGCCTAGATGCATATTTTCTTTGGGGACCAGTGTTGTGTTGGGTGCCACTCACTGACCCCCCCCCCACCCCAGCTCCCCTCCATACACAGTGCAGCCGGGACTTATGGAGCAAAAACAGCCATTGCCCCTGTAAGAATAAGTTCTTCACTTGTAAATGTGTTTTTTCTCTCTCTGTGTTAACATTACTATGAATCAGCCAATGCACATGTTGCCATAGTCCACTGTGGCTGGAAAGAGAACTGTCCGGTTGTGTGCCAGAGACCCTATACTGCTACAATCTAATGAAGATTCTCCTTTAGCCTCAGAGCAAAGGGCCTGTGCATTTGGAGCAAAGGGTTTGAGCTCTAGCCACCTATTTATACGGTGTAAATCACCCATATAGCTGCTACTGTAAAGTTCCAAGTGGTCACAGCTTTGTTACGATATAAAATCTCTTTGTATGTTCTAATTTTTCATTCTTTTTAACCACCACAGTTTAAAAAGAAAGAATACAGTATATGTCTCTAGCTAGCACACACAGCCAAGAAGAAAGTTACATTCGAGTCTGTGACTTTCCAACCTCCTTCCTTTAAAATATTCCCTTGGATAACATAGCTCTTTCCTTTCCATAGGCACAAGCTCTGCTCCTCCTCGGATGGAGCCAGAAACAGATGCTCAGGAAGAAAAACAACACTGGAAAAGTATGTTGAATGCATTTCTACTTCAGACACAAGCCAACCTTTAATGGCCAAATTGGAACTTTTGCAGCGAAATTGATATAAACGCTCCCCATGCCAAAACATAAACTCTCTGGGGACAGGGTCCATCTTTTTGTTCTGTATTTGTACAGCTCCTGCCTCCATGAAGTCCTGGTCCATGAGTGAGGTTCCTAGGTTCTATTGCAATACAAATAATAAATAATATGCATACTGATTGTACTACAGCGTCATACAATATAGTTCCTGCTATGAGTATATGTAATCTGCATGGGATTAGGGTTATGCATAGGTGCTGCTGGCTGGGTTGAGGACACTGCTTTGAAGAAGTTAGGTGCTATATCAGGGGTTCTCAAACTGAGGGTTGGGACAGCTCGCAACCCCCCCCCCTCAGGGGGTCGTGAGGTAATTACATTGGGGGGTTGCGAGCTGTCAGCCTCCACCACAAACCCCGCTTTGCCTCCAGCATTTATAATGGTGTTATATATTTAAGTGTTTTTAATTTATAAGGCGGGGGGGTCACACTCAGAGGCTTGCTATGTGAAAGGGGTCACCAGTACAAAAGTTTGAGAATCACTGTGCTACATATTATTGTATGTATACATACCACCACTGAAATGCAGCTAGCAGTGGGTTGGCTGATGATAGATACATAGCACAACAGAAGAAGAGAAAGGGATATTTTTACAAATCTTTGCTTGTACAGACAATACTGTGAGGGTCTGATTCTGAAGGGTGCTGAGCTCTGAAGGGAGTGGAGGGTACCTTTATAGGAACAGATCCTTAACTTTCATGAAAAGCAGATAGGAGAGTGTTGCCTAGTGACTAGAGCACTGGTCTAGGTCTGAGATGACCTGGGTTCTGTTCCCAGCCTTTCAGGCCTGCTGGGTGACCTTAGGCCAGTCACTTCCTCTCCCTGTACCTCAGTTACCCTATCTGTAAAACGGGGATAATATTACCTCCTTTGTAAGCGCTTTGAGATCTACTGATGATAAGCTCAAGTTTAGAGCTAGGGATTATTATTCTCATTTACCCTAAAGCCCCATTGGACCTCTCTGGCAGTATAAAGGGGCCGTAAATCATCAATTAGTTATACTCACAGTAGCGTCCCTTTGCACAGGCAGAGTAGTAGTCTAAAGCAGATTAATGTCAAGAAGAATCAGGCACTCAGTTTTGAATGGCTCATGGCAAAGAAAAGATATCCGAGCAGCAGAAGAACTCTTCCTTAAGAGTCTTGTTATCCCATCAATATAGAAACTCACGGTAACAACAGTCATTTATTTTGCAGGCACAGCGAGACGATCCACTCAAAACCCACGTACGTATTTCCCCAATCTGAAATCCCCAATCTTTATACCTACTTTTACGGTAATGCTTGTTACTTTAAGATTAGGTTCTTTTAACAATAGGACATCAAATAATCACAGTCAACCAAATGTGTTAACCCACGAGTGTTAGTCAAAGATCAGTCTGCACAAATACAGAAAGATGAGAGTTAAATACTTTACCACTTCATCAAGCTGGGGATACAACCAGCAGCATGGATTGTTCTGGAAATATAATTCACTGCTGAGGTGTATATATACCTTTGGTTTTTACCATGGTCCCCAAACTCCCCCAAATTAGTTTGTGCCGTTCTTACCCTAAGATTTCCATTCCAATGCAATCTGTACTTGCTATCCGAGGTTGTTGGAAATTTGTACCTAGTTTCTAGCAACAGTTATATCAGTTGGTTATTATTTTCACAAACTTCAGCAAAATACTACTTTCTCTGTATGCACCAAGAACAAAACTTACAGTTTTTAATATATTTCAGTATAGAGGTTGCTGGGGAAAATGGTTAACTTTAGTATAGGTATGGATTCTCTTAAAAATACATAATATATTGGCTATATCATTTTGGTAACATGTCAAAGCAGGTACAGCACTCTGAGAATGGGTGATTTCTATTAGGGATCCCCGTTTGTCATTTAAACAGAAAACAAACAAACAAAAAAAAGGAATATATATAAAACTGTATTTTATCCATGGTATGTCCTACACATTACCTGAGAGGCAGTATGATGTTGTGGCTAGAGCTCCTGACTGCACAGTCAGAACTCCTGGGTTCCGATCCAGGCTCTGCTACCGACTTGCTGTGTGGCCTCAGGCAAATCATGTCATCCTCTATGCCTCAATTTCCCCTTCTGTAAAATTATCAGGATTCGTCCCTTCATGGAGTTGGGGTAGGGATTAATTGGCTAATGTCTACAAAGCAGCATTAACAACTAAAGCCTGATTTTTCATCGCCCTGCATCTTTTGTCATCATTTTCACCAGTGCGAAGCTGCTGTAAAATGCTACCGGATCAGAATAGTGGTGTTTTGCACTAGCGTAAGTGACAAGGAATAGATCCATAATATGCTACATAGTAAGTCTATTAGCCCAGTGGATGAGTGGATGGACTGGGAGTTGGGTTCCACTCCTGGCTCTGCCCCCAACCTGCTGAGTGACCTTGGGCGTTGCTGCTCTGTGCCTCAGTTTCCACATCTGTAAAATGGGGATAATGATACTTGCCTCCTTTGTAAAGTGCTTGGAGTCCTACTGAAGAAAAATGTTGTACAAGAGCTAGGGATTATTATTCAATAGGGAAAAACATCCTTGTAATACAAAGCCTTTTTTTGATAGGAGAGGATAACTTCGAAGGCCCTTCCTCTTCTTTTAAGAAGCTATGTCCTGCCAAACCCTCCCCCAGCTTTCTTGAGCTTCCATCTTCCCAACGGAGGCCCAGCCCAGGTCTACCCTGTGCCCAGGCTGCCAGGAAAGGACAGAAAAAATTCAGTAAGTGTTGGGACCACCCCAGTTTTGGGAAGGGAGTGTTCTCTAGCGGTAAGGAGTAGGGGGCCAGGAGTCAGGACTTCTGGAGTCTATCCTGGTTCTGGGCAGGAGCAAGGGTTAGTGGTTAGGACAAAGCACTAGGCGTCAGGGACTCCTAGGATCTATTCCCAGGTCTGTGTGACCTTGGGCGAATCATTTCCCTGCTTGGTGCCTCAGTTTCCCCATTTGTAAAACGGGGATAATACCCCGTGCACTGGGCTGTGGCACAGCACAGCGAGGTTCTGGGATGCAAGTCTCTGTAAACAGGCAAAATTTCAATAGAATTAAGAATCACTTAGCATTTGAGGAAGGGGGAAACAAACCAGCGCTTTGCCCCTTTTTTCTCCAGCCCCTGATCATCAGCCACAGGAATGCTACGGCCTACTGGAGTGCATGCACAACAACATCCAGATCCAAACCCAGATCGCTCTGGCACAATTGAGCATCCTGGAAGGCTTGCAGGAATCCATGAACTTGCTTCTGGCTAGCGACAAGAAGGGGAAGGAGCAGAGAGACCAGGAGGGCCTGCAAAACTCAGCCTCCTCCCCCACCTAACATATCCATAGGTTTGGTGACTAGCTTTGATTCCCATAGTCTCATCCCTGCGGCCTCGTCTCCTTTGCGTTCACTCTGGCGCTGGCTGTCAAGTGTATAGCTACAGGATTGGGGTTTGTGTTACCATGACAACTGATAGGGCTCTTGGAAGTAAAACTATTGTAAATACTTTCAGTGTGAGTTTTCCTCTGAAGGCTGCATAGTCCTTGTGGGAGCAGCACGGGAAGCGACAGCAATGTGCTTTGGAGCGATGCATTGAGTCTGATTTGAGGTCACTCTGCCCATGCCCCTAGGGCTAGGGGTTCAGGTGACTTGAAGCCCCTTTATGCTGCCCATGTTCTGGGGGCTTGCCAGACCTCTGCTGTAAATCAGAACAGCCTCAAGGCTACTCTCATTTTTGCTCTGCCTCCAATGGCCCTTGCAGTATGTTCCAGCCATGTCTCCTCCACTGGAGACAGGGAGCAGGGTGGATACCGAACTCTTATGCAAGCTCCATACCAGCTGGGGTGGCTCCTGCGCAGGGAGGATTTCCAGGGAGCTGGTTCTGCTCATTTTAAGGTCCCTCTGCACTGCCAGAGCAGCACAAAGGGACCTGAGCGTGACTGACAGTCAGGTTCACCATCTCTCCCCAGCCAAGGCTTCCTCATTAGAAGCCAGTCATGATGCTGTGCTGTGTTCTCTGCTTTGGCCTTGATTGTGTGTCTGCTGGCTGGATGCAAGAGGGCTGGTTCTCTGGCGCCCTGCATCTTGTGTCGCCTTTTGTACCTGTGCAGTGGGGGTGGAAAACTACCAAATCAGTGTTGCGCACCTGCTTGGTACTGGTGTGAATGAATACATGAGGTAGAGGGCAACACGGAATGAGGCCGCATGTCTGTGCAAACATCTCGCCACCGCATTACGGCTGGGTAGCTCATTTCATCAGGGGATCCCAACGTTAATGAGAAGATTACTCTTCACTTACCTCCCATGGGACTTAAGTATCAGAGATGGAGAACGTGAAGTATGGCCGAGGGGCTTGCTCTTTAAAAGTGCTGAGCACCCTCAGATCGCACCACAGTGGAAGTAAGCAGCCAGCTGCCCCAGTGAGTGGGCAAAACCCCTTCATCTTTTCCAGCCAGACCCAGTTAGCAATGCTGGCAGGATCCTGCAGTGTCCTGTACGGTCAGGTGCAAATTGAAAGACACATGCAATGTACTTACCGCCTGAGATTCTATTTTGATTAAATATAAACTTTGTCGAAAAAGGATACGCACACAAGCGGCTGTTCCCTTCCCTTAAGGCAGCACCATCCTCAACAGGAGTTGCAACAGGAGGAGCATTAGGTTTCTATGTTCCCCATCTAAAGCTCTATTGTGAGGCAAGGTTAGAAGACCGGGGAGGGTGGCTGCTCAGAACTCGGGAGGCACAGGCCAGCTGTGCTGGGCTTTGAACCCCATATGAACTCTGTTTAAGAATGATTCCAGCTGACTGGGCTTCAAACACAATCAGGAGCAGTGTGGTCCAGTGAAGAGAGGGTAGAGTTGTGGCATCTAGTCCCAGCTGTACTGCGTCACATTGGGTATGTCCCTGCCCCACTCCGTGCCTCAGTTTCCCATCTGTACAATGGGGATAATAGTGCTGCCCTGCCACAGCGGGTGTGAGAAGAAATACACTAAGCACTGTGAGCTGCTCGGCTACTATAGTGATGGAGCCAGGTAAGTACCTTAGATAGACAACCACACAGCTGGGCTTCCGTACAACCGCCCCCTGACAGCTCTCGGCTGGCCTGGCTTCCAGGAGCCTTCCTCGTGGGGACAGCTTGGGTGTGCGCAGGCGCCGTCCGCCGCCGCCCCTTCCGGCCCGCCGTAGCTGTGCCGGAAGCGGACTCCAGTTCCCAGCGTGCCCCGGGGCGGAGGCGGGTTTCCGGGCGCCCAGTGCTGACTCTCGCTTCCGCCGCGCGAGCCGGGCCGCAGCGGTGAGAGGGGGCCG